AATTAATGACAAATCTTTTTGATAAATGGGATTTGGAGATAGGGGGTGTCAGTGTTGATAACTGAAAATTGGGAAAATGTTTTTGGTCATGTAAGTTTTTTAAAAAATTTAAATATTCAAAAAATTAGAAAAATTATGTCTCTATGTGTGATTAAAGGTCTTTGCATCCTAGCCAACATATCTCAATGTGGCTTGAAGGATTTTATTTTCTTTTAACTCTTAAGAATTTTTTTTTTAATAAAATTTAAGTGTCTTTTGAAATGGAAGCATTTACTTCAAACTGAGGGACCAAAATATTTAGTTTAGACAGTATTTTTCATCAAAACTATTTGTGATAGCTAAATTAACTTGCTGTGCAGTTTGGTTGAGCACAGTTTGTCTTTCATGAAAGATGTGCTGTGCACCGATGGCCTCTGGCTTTGCTCATTTCTTCTGTTTCCAAAGTCATTGTCAATGACTGCAGATGTCCCTCCTTTTTCTGTCTTTCTTGCCCATTTTCCATTCTCAGATTTTTTTGCCAACAAAACACATAAAAAGTTAAAGATTTTGTCATTTCACTTTTGGGTTTGGTGTTTTTTTGTTTTGTAGTGTTTTGGGTTTTTTGCTTGTTTGTTGGGATATTTTAGGTTTTCGAGGTTTTTTCCCAGCTTCCCTGTATCTTCCAGCTTTCATGAAGTACAGCTAGTGCTGGGCTCTGTGGCCAGATTCTTTCCTAGCACATCTTCTAGACCTCTCTTCCAGCACATTTCCTTTGACGTCCCTTGTCCAGACTTCTCTTCAAATGCCTTTGCCTCTCCTCGAAGCGTTATGACTTCCCCCTCTCCCTTAAGGCACCTAGCTGTCCTTTGATTTATCCTCATGATTGGAGCCCTGGCTTACTGCTTCTAAGGCATACTTTGACCTGCCTGGATTGCAGCATTTTTATGGATTGGTGATTTCACAGGTTGAAAGCAAGTGTTCAGACAAGAGTAATGAAGTGTGGCTATGAGAATCACACCCACAGCTATTCTCCAACTTGGTTGGACACAAGCTAGATACAGTTTGGAAGCTGTATACACATTAGCATGAGGCAGTGTCCAAATTAATAGGTCCTAATAAGCTCACTAATATGGCTCCACTTCTTCTGGACCAAACCTGGCTTACACTTGGATCTATCTATACCAGCCCATATAAATATGTAATATTACTTTATTTTTCTTGAATTTGCCTCAAAAATTTCTCATGTCTCATGCTTTTGCTGCAGGGAGCTGGTTGGTTCTACTACAACAGGTAATCTGTCATGTTCAGGAGTACTGTTGTTGCCTCTTTCTTGGGTAAGAGTAAATAAAAAAAAGGTGCACATCAGCTCATCTCTGACTTTGGTGAGCATTGCAAATGTGCTTGCAGGCTGGAGCCCTAGGTGCAGGATGTCAATAGCTGGTTAGAAGAATTGGCAGGTGTAGGAGTGATACAGAGGTGCCGCTGAAATTTAATTTCCTCCAGAATCATTTTCTACCAGCTATGCAAACTTTCTTTAGCTAAATAAATACACTTAAAGACAAAGATTTCCCGCTTTCCTAGAAATACTCATGGCAACAACTGCCTGTGCTTTCTCTCCTGGAGACTTAACAAACAGCCTGCACATTTGCATTTTCTCTAATAGTCTCAGCAGTAAACTTCCTTCCAAAAAGAGGCAGAAAAAGGAAATCTTGTGTTCCTTGAATGCAAAAAGAAATTACACATTCTGTCTCTGTCTCTTGTACATAGAGATACACAATTTAGTACTTTACATCTTCAAAGCACTGCTCAAACAGGGACTAAACTGTGTTTGTAAACTCCCTCTTTGGGAGAAAAGTTCAAATGAGGCTTAAGTCCCAAATGAAATGTTGATGGTCTCAGTCAAGCTCCTAGTGGACATTTGTCACAAAAGCACAGCATTGTTTGCTTGTATTGGTTAACAATTAGTATTATTACTCTGTGATACAGCACAGCCCTGATCAAAGGCAAATTTTACGATACACTGGGTGTACACAGAATAAAAGACTGGCCCTGCCTCAAAATGTGAACAGGAAACAGAAATGGGGGAAAAAATTAAAAAAAAAAAGAAAAAAAGAGAAACTATTTATTCTCTCTGGTTTGCTGAGGAGGAACCAGGGACTGCAGTCCATAAATGCAGTTAAACTGATGTTTGCTACTGTCTGGGTCTATTACCTATTTTGCTAAATCCAAGGTAAAATTACAAAGTCGTGTGACTATGGTCACGGGGGGAGTCTATGTCAAAGCCGGGAGCAGAATGTAGCTCTCACGAGCCCATAGAAATTGTGTTAACTGGAAGGTTGCCCTTCCTCTGCAAATGGAGTTTAATGAATATAACACACTTCAATAGGTGTATTCATAAGAAGTTACCCATTATGGATGTAATGCATGAGTTTTTCTCTCTTGGAAATAGGTTACTCTTACTGGCCATTTCCTGGTCAGGTTTTGATGAGTCCCTTTCAGGCACAGTTCCCATTGAAGTAGGTTTGCCTGAATGAGGACTTAAGGAACAACTGAATAAAGACCTCTATAATTGCTCTATAATGATTAAATAGTTCCCATGAGCAAGGCAGTTCAGAAAGACGTGCTTTCACTTAGCAACATTTGCGCTGCCAAAATGAAATAGCCACATCTACTGCAGGCAGAACTTAATTCACTATTGTTGCTATTATTGTGGCGGACCAGAGACTGGACAGAATCAGGCCAGGAGAGTGGTGGGCCCTGTACAAGCACACTGTACATGGCAATCTAAGTAAAGAGAGTCTTGAGGTTCTTGGTCTGCTTCCTGGTGTGCTGATGATGCTTCCATTTGTAACAGTTTTTTTATTTTTGCCCCATTTGTTCTGCTTTTGGAATGATATTTGAGTACAAATGTTAGTGATGCAGTTCAAAGGCAATGCTTCTTCAAATGGATTGGGCCGGAGACAAGATGGTATATCAACTTTATTTTGAAGTGAGATGCAAACTGTTCCTACAGTTCCTACAGGAGTGACCAGTTCTTCTGGTCCTATAAGGTTACCTCCCCCCCACCAGAAAAGAAAGATTTTTTTTTTTCCCCAATCTCTCCAGGTGTTTTTCATTTTTGTTTTGTTTTTTTTGTTTTGGTTTTTTTAATCTACTTATTGTGGCTTAAAAGAAGGGACGAGAATTGTATTGAATTCTTTGCTAATGAATAGGAAGGAGCAGGATAATTTAAAGGAATGGTCAAAAACCCACCTCAGAAAGTCTCACCCTTTGGACTTGTGGATGCTGGGCCTGTTCCTAGGAGCACTATGGAATGAGAGTAGAAGGCAGGAAATGGTGGGTGATAGACTGCTACAAAGCAGCAAGAGGAGGCCACAAGAAATGAGAAATCCTCCTGGGGTTTCTGAGAGCATCTTTTCATGGTGCATGCATCATCCCTGAGATTTTTGAGGCTGTTTGGTAAAGGGCTGGAGGTTTTGCCAGCTGAGTTGAAATGCTCAGCCCCACTTTAGGCACACAGACTACAGGTCAATGTTACCCAGTGACTGATTGCACCCCAGCGGTAGAAATGGCAGCGCTCAAAGTTAAACCATCTTTGGAGATTTCCCTTGAAACTGCAGCTGCCAAACAACAGAGCTCAATCTCTTGAAAATGAGGATCTCATAAAAACAAGCCATGCATTGCCAGCTGTAAGGAAGAGTGTTTTGTCCCTTAGGGCCATTCTAATCTCAGATGCAGAGTGTGCATTACCATATAGCTTTAAAGAGCAGATATTTCTAAGGTGATACATGGAGTGGTGTGCAATCCCCTCAAATATCCTTTAGGAGTTTTTCATGCATTCAGAAATACTAAGCAATGACATAGGCCCCTGATACAGCATCTTTGGTTAAGAAGTAAAAATGAGGTTGGAAAGGCCAAAGAGAAGTGTAGGTAAGGAAGGGGAATATGCCAGAATTGGAGCTGGAAGCTGGTAAGAAGCCTTTTGCTTCTGAGAGGGATGTATGGCTGCAGCATGGTGGTTATCTATCTCATGATAATATAATAAGACATCACTGGAATATGAGACTAGAGTGTGTATTGAGTCTTACAGTTTGTAGTGAGGTAGCAAGGAAAGCTAATACATTTTAAGAGGCTGTGGATTTTGTTTGTTTATTTTAGGTTGGGGTCTTTTTTTGTTGTTGTTATTGGTAGCCTGACCTTGCAACATGAACAGATCATTTGGGCCTTTCAAGCCAGAACAAACCGGTGTCAACAACTAAAGGGTGTCTGACCTCAGTCTAGCTGCTGGGAAACAGCTGCCAGCATCGCAAAAACATCCTGACAGCAAGCGGTCATGAGTAATAGCAGAAAGATGCAACCAGAAGGAGTCTCAGGAGATCATATAATCAATGAGCAGGTGTCTCTTCTGTCCCTACAGGCTCAGTGTTGAAGTCTTCAGATGTAAGAAGTCCCAAAAGGCATACCTCATGCCTCTGGGAGCTCAAGGGGTTTCAAGAGTGGTAGCAATGACTCCCCACTGTGTATGCTGCACATGGTTAGGCACAGTTGGGGTGCTGTGATGCATGGCAGCCCAGTCAGCAGTCCTTGCTAAATTTTCTCCAGAACCTGCAGAGTGGGCCTGCCAAGCAGCCCTTGTGCTGGCACGGGTCTGGATGGCAGGTCTGGGATGCTGGGTTCCAGGGAAGCTGCACTCGAGCTGCATGAGAGCCAAATGGCTGCCCCTGGAAGCTGGAACATCTACTGCTTACTGCTAGGATTGCAATAGTTAATAGGTATCCAGCTGAACTGAGGATGTATGTAACAGTACAGTAGCATTTCTTGTCTATGAAAACATTTGCAAAACATTGTATGGGTTTAAATAAAGACTGTGAGACATCTCACCCAGCAGGATGGGGAAAATTTAAGCCAGTGTGCAGTACCCCAGTTTTTCTGTGCCTAGGTTGTCAGAGGTGACTTTGTGCATCTGAGAAGGGCTTGCCGCAGTTTCACATGGCACCTTGGATTACAGAGAGGGTGTCTGGGATGGGAATGGCCCAGTGAATGCTTTGCAGGTTAGCATTTGATTTAAAGGGGTGCATAAATCTTGTGCAGCAGCAGAATGTTCTCCCTTGTATGTTAACCCGTATCAGTTTTCCCTTGGGTTTTGACACCCTTGTGCAGAACAGGAACCATACACAGCACAGTAGTGGCAGTTCAGGCTTGTATATGAAAGTTAGTTTACATTTCTTGGGTAACCAAAGTGGTGAGAAAAAAATCCTCCATTCCACATTGCATAGAAGCTGTAATAGAACACTGTTATTCTGATGGCATGTTGAAGGGCTTGAGATTTTAGGGTGTTTCCTTTGCTTGTTTTCCTCATCCCCAAGATCAGTTCCCATGACCATGTCTTGGGCTTTAGCCAGCTTTTTTGTCTTTCATCTAGTATCTTTTCTTTTACGGGCATCGGGGCAGCTGGGGGAGAAAGGACAATTCTGGCTGTGATAGGGAAGTGTCACAGTTTGGCAAGAAACAAAGTCAAATAACATCTCTGAGCCTCACTCCTGGAGTTCTCACACAACCTGATAGTAAGAAGACATGCCTTGTGCATCCTCAAAGAGACAGAACAGATGCTAGTTAGGACCCTCCGGGATCCGAGAGGGATAAGCAAAGCCAACTTCATGACTCCGTTCATCTCCGCCAGGCTTGTAAGGTGAAATCAGTCATGTCAGTGTCAAAAATTGCTGTCAAGTCTAGGGTGTGAATATGGATATTTGTCATCTCCAGAGCTAAAGCTCTTCTTGCTCCAGCAGAACCATTCCTGTTATAGTCCTGATCCAGTGATGCAGATGTGGTTGCAGATTTGTTTCCTGACACTATTCAAACTTTTTCCCTGCCTGCAAGGTTAAGCTAGCATAATCCTCAGTAAAATGGTTCACATGGTGGTGGCTTCTCAAACACTGGCTGAACTACTGTATGGCTTGTGATAAACCTCTCTAATAATCTCTTAGAAAGATATTGACCGCCAAGGCCAGCAGTGACCTTCTGTTGTGCTATCCTCCAGCCAAAACTGATGCAGAGTTTTGACCTTCAGACCCTTTTCCATCCTTTCTGAAGACGTTTAGGGGAAATAAGGAAGAAAACCAGCAATAGGCTTGATTTTGATGGGGGCTAGGGTTCTGCTCTTCACTAAGCATTCAAGAAGCTCTTGAAAGTCTTGCCTGTGCTTTTCTATGGATAAATGAAGCTGTGACAATGAATTTACAACACATGTATTCTGCCAGGCCCTGACCCAGCAGAGTACTTAGACAAGCGTAACTTGAAGCTTATTGAATGCCATGCAGTTGCTTGCATGCTTTGGCTTGAGCACATCTGTAACATGTTGCTGGAGGTGGGCTGTTTCTCAGCATGAAGACTCCAAGGCAGGGATTGCTTAGGAAGGGGGTCAAATAATAAGAAAACAATGACCAAAAATCTGCCTGTTCATTGCAGTCTCTCTGGAAACACATGAGGTGGGTTTGGGGTGCAAGGACAAAATGGAAGGAGCAGAACAATAAGCTAGTTCAAGCACCTGAGAATATATTTGAAGCAAGAGGCAGATGAAAAAAAGGACAGTGACGTTTCCGAATGCACTTGAGTTCATGTTTTTTTTTCCTGCTACCAGTTGATGTACCACCTTTGTTACTGATTTTTTTTCTTTGAGCTGAAACTATACATTATCTTCTAATCCTTCTCCAGTGAAGTAAATCTAAAATGAAAACAAACAGCACATTTGGCCAACCCTGCCTTAAAATTACACATCAAGAACATTTTCAGTGACAAATACTTTCAAGGCAAACAAACTGAGGAGAAATTAAAAAATCTCTGTGGGGCACAAATATGTAATTACACTCACACAGGGAGCATTTTATCAGGTAAACCATCCTACTTTGTTAATTGAAATGCTGCAGCACAAGGTTTTTGACAAAGGGACTGAATATGTGTGCCTGTTTCTCACTGCTGCTGTTCCATTTCTCTCTGTCCTTTCCCTGTGTGCTCCAGCGATGAGGTAGTGATCACTACTGCTTCCTTTGTTCAAATATCCTCATTTCTACCACCTCCACTTAATTCTGGCAAGGGAATTTTTCCTTTCACTGGAGGCACAGGTTTGTAGTGGGCTTTGTTGATTTGAAAAACAACTCAAACCCCAGAAAACAGGAAAACTAAGCCTTTTTCTTAAATTAATTCTCCAGAAACAATAAAACTTTGAGAATTAAACAAACAAACAAACAAACAAAAAACAACAACCTACCAAACAAACAAACAAATAAAAAAAAAAACAAAAAACCCCAACCAAACAAAAAAGGCAGAAATAAGAAAAAGAACTGCAGGAAGTATGTACAGCTGTGTTGCCCTTATCCCATCACAGCAATCTTAAAAGTGTGAAGATGAGTCAGTGGAAGAAAGGCTGAAGTTTGTGACTGAAGAGATTTGAGGTCCAGATACCAAGCCTTTGCTTGTAGAAGCATTTGTCAGTATTTGGTGGCCATGGGCAACACTCAGTGAAATATTTACGGCACGAGCACTTCCAAGAAGCATGGCTGCTGGCAGGCTATTTTATTGTCTAAACGAAAACTGCAATGCCAGCTGCGGTTTTTCCCACCCATCTGTGATGGCTCTGCCATGCCAAATGGCCTGCCCTTAGACGCAAATGGAGCATACCCTCCCTGGGACAGAGTGATACAAGGTAGCCCCATACACAGACAGACTGCTAAAGCTTGCTCAGCAGTGCTGATCAACTGTGACAACTAGGCAGTGAGGAGACACAGTGCCCAGCCTTCCTCTAGAGCAGAACAGGATGCTGACATATTTTCTCCCTCTACGTCAATGGAGAATAATATGTTTTCTTCTCTTTCATGATGTATTGCCCGGTTCGATCTTTCTCTTGCATTTTCTCTCCCTCTAATGTGCTGTACTGAAGGTGTTCCAATCGCACAGACTTCAGCCATCATCATGTGGGGAAACTCAGAAAGGTTTCAATGATTTTCTTAATGAGCTTTGTATGTTCCGTATTCCCTTTCTGACTTGTGCCCCTCACTGTTTTTCTGCATATATCCTTCTCTTTCACAGTTCTTTTTGTAATGTCTAACCAGTATAACCTTGACTTCGTTTCTAGTTCTTTTTTCTAGACTCTGTTTTTAGTGTGAAAAAAAGAAGATTGACCTGAGCAATAGAGGGGTGACATTTCCAGAGAAAAAGGGCTTTACCATACTATGTACCTTTCCAAGTAAGTCACATCAAAAGCACGTAGATTTGTAATCCCCTGGAAATCATTCTAAAATGGCAAAATAAGTGATTTCTTTGTCTCTGTTTCCTTCATCTGACCTTACAACGTGATAACAACAGTGTGTCCTCCCACACAAGTGGTGTGGCTGAATAGCTAAGGATTGTGAGAAACTTTATTATTATTTAGAAACTAAACCACTGTGGTTGTTGACTAAGGAGTTGCCAGAACTCGGAAGACATGGTCTCCCTTTCATGTGATCTTGCCACAGAACATAACCCTTCCATACGGTTTAAGTGGATCTGAGGCTAAGACATCTCAAGAAAAGGGCTGAAGAATGAGCCAAGTGCTCTTTGTCTGACCAGACCTTTCTTTCACATTTCAGGGGGGTCACGGCTGGGCTAAGAAACAAGTCAGCCCCATAAATCCTATTTCCTGAATGGTTTTAATGGGGGAGTCAGCAAATGACACAGGTATACACTGAATCCTTGCAAAAGAAATCAGGTTCAGGGAAGGAAGATTTGCACCCAATTCACACAACAAAATGGAGTCAGGGATGCAGCTGGAGCCTTTGTCTGAACCTCAAAGCTGGAAACATCCTTAGGTCTCATGGTTTATACATGGTACAGTACAGTTCTACTCAGCTATAACATTGGAAGTAGGAAGGAATTCAAGTTGAGCTCCATATTTGTTACTCAAATGTAATGTGGGCTCTCAAAATCAGAGGGTGCTGTTGTGTAGGCACTGTAGGGGTACAGAACAAAAAGATTATGCCTGCCTGTTGTGGTTTAAACCCAGTCAGGTAACTCGTTCGCTCACTTCCCCCCCTTTCTTGCCCTCCCCCTGCTCCCGGAGGGACGGAGAGGAGAATCAAAAAGAATGCAACTCCCACGGGTTGAGATAAGAACAGTTTAGTAACTAAGGTATAACACAAATCACTACTGCTACCACCAATGATAACAATGATAAAGAAATAACAAGGAAAGAGAATACAACACCTCAGCACCAGCAGACCGATAACTTGCCCCCCTCAGCCCGACCAAGCACCGACCCATACCTCCTCCAACCCTGCAGTCTCCCAGCCCTTCCGGCTAACTCCCAGTTACATCCTGGGCATGACGTGCTGTGGTATGGAATACCTCTTTGGTCAGTTTGGGTCAGGTGTCCTGTCTCTGCTTCCTCCCGCCTTCCCCTCCTCCCTGGCAGAGCATGAGGCTCACAAAGTCCTTGGCCAAACCAAAACATCACTATCAGCTCTGTTCCCAAGCTGAAAGTCAAAACACTGCACTGCACCAGCTACCAAGAAGGGGAAAAATGACTGCTACTGCTGAACCCAGGACATTATCCACCCCTTATTCCATACCATTCACGTCATGCTCAGATCCCACATTTTCAATATACCATCACTCTTATCTCAGTGCACTCTTATCTTAGTGCATGGACCAGTCCCTATAAAGCTGCTGTGTCCATCTGGTCCATGATGTCAGGCTTCATCTCTTGTAACAGTCTTCCAGAGCAGGACTGTGTGCAGTGTTCACACTCGTGAATAACCTGGGCAATAGTGTCCATTGCTAAGTCCACCCCTCGATCATGAGTCCATCTCTGTGTTGCATCTCTGCTCTGATGGCCTGAAGTGCCATGGGCCCACCAGGCTTAAAATAATTCACTGTCCCCTTAAGCAGTTTCTGCAGCTTGTTGTTGGGGACTCCATACAGCTGCCTTCCATCTCCAACGCTTCCAAAGCACTGGAGGGGCCCAGCGGACTAGATACTTGCCCATACTGTCCCACACACCCTGCCACTCATGACTGTCCAGCTTTGGGGAAAACCTCTTGGTCCCCCTATATTTTTGTCTAACCCCAGACAAGACCCAAACCTGACTCTGCTTAACTTTTGAGATCAGACAAAATGGTTGTGGGTAGAACACAGTCTGTGTGTGTGCCAACATGCTGATCCCCATCACAATCAGCAGGCAGGTCCCAAGGATACCCAAAGGCCATTCAAAACCTTCAGAACTCTCACACGATGCTGCTGTACTTGTCACTGTGGTGTAGCCGCTGTGCTTGCCGGCTCTCCCACCACCAGCTTCTCTTTTCCTGAGTCCAGCTCTTCCTCCTCTGCCTTGCTGGGAAATGCTGCGTGGTCTCCTGCATCCTCCTGGGGCTCGGCGGGCGGCTGCCGGGGAATGCTCTCGGCCATCGCGGGGCTCGGCTCTTCCGCGGGGCTCGGCTCCTCCGCGGGGCTCGGCTCCTCCGCCGCCTTCTCCCGCTGCTCGGCAGCCGCTTCCTTCTGCTCCTCGACCGCCCCGACCTCCTCCACCGGCAGCCGTCCCCTCGCAGCCTCCGGCCCCGCTCCCGCCACCGCTTGGTCCCCGGGGCCGCTCTCCCGGGCCGGTTCGGCTGCCGCCGGCTCCCGGGGTCGCTCCCCCTCGGCTCCCCGCAGCCTCACGAAGATGGAGAGTAGGGCGAGGGCCAGGACGGTGAAGAGCAGCCGGACGGCCAGGTACAAGTCCACGGCCACGTCCGTCCCGCCCTGCTGCTGGAGCCCGCCCGTATTACAAGCCATTGCCATAAAGCACAGTGAGACAAGAACCTTAGCCCAGGCCCCACACTTGATAAACACTAACACAGCAAATACCGGCTCTAAGTAAGTTACAACATTCTGAAGCTGTGAGATCAACAAGAACAACTCTGAGAGCCAATAAATCAGCATTGTGACGAGTGACTATTAATCCGGTCAGATCTGTCGTTATCTCAACCCTTCGTGCCCCACGTTGGGCGCCAAAAGGAACTGTCGTGGTTTAAACCCAGTCAGGCAACTCGTTCGCTCACTTCCCCCCCTTTCTTGCCCTCCCCCTGCTCCCGGAGGGACGGAGAGGAGAATCAAAAAGAATGCAACTCCCACGGGTTGAGATAAGGACAGTTTAGTAACTAAGGTATAACACAAATCACTACTGCTACCACCAATGCTAATAATGATAAAGGAAATAACAAGGGAAGAGAATACAACACCTCAGGGCCAGCCAACCGATAACTCGCCCCCCTCAGCCCAACCAAGCACCGACCGATACCTCCTCCAACCCTGCAGTCCCCCAGCCCTTCCGGCTAACTCCCAGTTACATCCTGGGCATGACGTGCTGTGGTATGGAATACCTCTTTGGTCAGTTTGGGTCAGGTGTCCTGTCTCTGCTTCCTCCCGGCTTCCCCTCCTCCCTGGCAGAGCATGAGGCTCACAAAGTCCTTGGCCAAACCAAAGCATCGCTATCAGCTCTGTTCCCAGGCCAAAAGTCAAAACACTGCACTGCACCAGCTACCAAGAAGGGGAAAAATGACTGCTACTGCTGAACCCAGGACACTGCCCCAAGGAACTGACAACCTCAGTATAGGAGTGAAATGGAGAGAGTTGTGGGGAGGTGGAAACAAGGAGACAGTGTTGGCTAACATGGCTGACATCACTTACATTGATCCAGCAGTCTGACAGCTGTCAAAACATTTGGACTTATGAGAGCACAGAGGAGAGTTTTGGAATGATGGTCAGATACGGGATGCACACGAAGAATGTCCTCAGAGGCATTAGAGGCAGCTTGGAAGAAAATACATGTGGAACTTCAACAGACAGGTGATAAGACCAGAGACAGGTCTGTCAAGACAATATTAATTATTGGTAGGGACAGAGAGATGGTAGGTTTTATTAGAAGGGGCTGGGAAGAGTCTTGGAGGTAAAAAGCAGTAGCTTGTTTCCAACAGCTAGGAAACATTGAGGAGCAGTGACAGTGGCTTCTGCAACATCAGGTTCATGCAGGTGAATTCTCTCCTGGCACTAGGTAGTGGGGCAGGACAGCTTCTTCCTCCATGATGCACAGGAAGGTGACTGGGTGGATGTGGGACCAGTTACCTGAGCTGTGAAAAGGACCAGGGCTTTGAACTCCTTCTTAACCCATTTCTGGAAGGAAGCTCAGGCCACTGGCCTATGTTCTGACTTTAGTCTCTGTCTTTTACTGCAGAGACTGTTCTTGTTGTACATAAATATTTAACCGTTCCTTCAGATGTAGCAAATTAGTACGTTGAACATACAGGCAAGAGCCACTTTCTTTCTGACACTGATTTACACAAGGTTCAGCACAGGACATGTGAGAAATCTGGGTGATATAACAGAACATATTAACCATTATCCTGTTCATGCCCTTTCATTTTTATTTTTGAGTAAGTAGAGCCTCTTTTTTTCCTCTCTAGAAGAATCTAGTGTAAGAATCCCACCAATGCTTTGGAGGACCTAGGTGGGAAGATGAGTGCCCAGCAGCTGAAATTCAGATACTATGAAGATTTTTCTGGTGGAAATTGCAGCATCCAGAGAATTTCATTATCTTGAGTGTTAAGCAGAGGTTTTAATATAGACATCCAAGTCCACTTTTGGCTCTAGGTTTTGGTACACTAGGTATTTTGTCCTTGGCCTGTTTCATTAGACAAATGCTTCTGGCAATAGGATATTCACCATTGATTCTTCAATATCCTTGGCTGGTTTGTGTCCCTCCTGAGTCACATTCATGGGGATACTCTTCCATATTTTTCTCTTACTTTTCTTCATCTTTTGAGCTGCATGGTGGATGCTTGCTCAATAAACAGTGTTTGAAGTCAGTCATCTCCAGGTATCTGTGTTGAACGAAGCTACTGTACCGTGGCATAGAGTGCAAACAGAGAAGCTTAGTACATGCTGTTAGGTTCACATGAAGCCCTCAAACACAGCTTATGAGGATTTCCTTACTGACAGCTCTGCAGATGCTTGAAGGAGTTTGACACTGCATAATTTTCATATTTGATTACTAATATTTTTGTAAAATGCAAGATTGGCTTGAGTTTATGTAAAATGCAAATATGGCATCTTGCATCGATTTGGACAGTTTGTTATTCAGAATGCTAGAATCATAGAATAGTTAGGGTTAGAAAGGACCTTAAGATCATCAAGTTCCAACCCCCCTGCCATGGGCAGAGACACATCACTCTAAACCATGTCACCCAAGGCTCTGTCCAACCTGGTCTTGAACACCGCCAGGGATGGAGCATTCAAAGCTTCCCTGGTGTCGTGGTTTAAACCCAGTCAGGTAATTCGTTCGCTCACTTCCCCCCCTTTTCTTGCCCTCCCCTGCTCTCGGAGGGACGGAGAGGAAAATCGAAAAGAATGCAACTCCCACGGGTTGAGATAAGAACAGTTTAGTAACTAAGGTATAACACAGATCACTACTGCTACCACCAATGATAATAATGATACAGGAAATAACAAGGGAAGAGAATACATCATCTCACCACCAGCCGACCGATAACTCGCCCCCCCCCAGCCCGGCCAAGCTCTGACCGATACCTCCTCCAACCCTGCAGTCCCCCAGCCCTTCCGGCTAACTCCCAGTTACATCCTGGGCATGACGTGCTGTGGTATGGAATACCTCTTTGGTCAGTTTGGGTCAGGTGTCCTGTCTCTGCTTCCTCCCGCCTTCCCCTCCTCCCTGGCAGAGCATGAGGCTCACAAAGTCCTTGGCCAAACCAAAGCATCGCTATCAGCTCTGTTCCCAGGCCAAAAGTCAAAACACTGCACTGCACCAGCTACCAAGAAGGGGAAAAATGACTGCTACTGCTGAACCCAGGACACTGCCCCAAGGAACTGACAACCTCAGTATAGGAGTGAAATGGAGAGAGTTGTGGGGAGGTGGAAACAAGGAGACAGTGTTGGCTAACATGGCTGACATCACTTACATTGATCCAGCAGTCTGACAGCTGTCAAAACATTTGGACTTATGAGAGCACAGAGGAGAGTTTTGGAATGATGGTCAGATACGGGATGCACACGAAGAATGTCCTCAGAGGCATTAGAGGCAGCTTGGAAGAAAATACATGTGGAACTTCAACAGACAGGTGATAAGACCAGAGACAGGTCTGTCAAGACAATATTAATTATTGGTAGGGACAGAGAGATGGTAGGTTTTATTAGAAGGGGCTGGGAAGAGTCTTGGAGGTAAAAAGCAGTAGCTTGTTTCCAACAGCTAGGAAACATTGAGGAGCAGTGACAGTGGCTTCTGCAACATCAGGTTCATGCAGGTGAATTCTCTCCTGGCACTAGGTAGTGGGGCAGGACAGCTTCTTCCTCCATGATGCACAGGAAGGTGACTGGGTGGATGTGGGACCAGTTACCTGAGCTGTGAAAAGGACCAGGGCTTTGAACTCCTTCTTAACCCATTTCTGGAAGGAAGCTCAGGCCACTGGCCTATGTTCTGACTTTAGTCTCTGTCTTTTACTGCAGAGACTGTTCTTGTTGTACATAAATATTTAACCGTTCCTTCAGATGTAGCAAATTAGTACGTTGAACATACAGGCAAGAGCCACTTTCTTTCTGACACTGATTTACACAAGGTTCAGCACAGGACATGTGAGAAATCTGGGTGATATAACAGAACATATTAACCATTATCCTGTTCATGCCCTTTCATTTTTATTTTTGAGTAAGTAGAGCCTCTTTTTTTCCTCTCTAGAAGAATCTAGTGTAAGAATCCCACCAATGCTTTGGAGGACCTAGGTGGGAAGATGAGTGCCCAGCAGCTGAAATTCAGATACTATGAAGATTTTTCTGGTGGAAATTGCAGCATCCAGAGAATTTCATTATCTTGAGTGTTAAGCAGAGGTTTTAATATAGACATCCAAGTCCACTTTTGGCTCTAGGTTTTGGTACACTAGGTATTTTGTCCTTGGCCTGTTTCATTAGACAAATGCTTCTGGCAATAGGATATTCACCATTGATTCTTCAATATCCTTGGCTGGTTTGTGTCCCTCCTGAGTCACATTCATGGGGATACTCTTCCATATTTTTCTCTTACTTTTCTTCATCTTTTGAGCTGCATGGTGGATGCTTGCTCAATAAACAGTGTTTGAAGTCAGTCATCTCCAGGTATCTGTGTTGAACGAAGCTACTGTACCGTGGCATAGAGTGCAAACAGAGAAGCTTAGTACATGCTGTTAGGTTCACATGAAGCCCTCAAACACAGCTTATGAGGATTTCCTTACTGACAGCTCTGCAGATGCTTGAAGGAGTTTGACACTGCATAATTTTCATATTTGATTACTAATATTTTTGTAAAATGCAAGATTGGCTTGAGTTTATGTAAAATGCAAATATGGCATCTTGCATCGATTTGGACAGTTGGTTATTCAGAATGCTAGAATCATAGAATAGTTAGGGTTAGAAAGGACCTTAAGATCATCAAGTTCCAACCCCCCTGCCATGGGCAGAGACACATCACTCTAAACCATGTCACCCAAGGCTCTGTCCAACCTGGTCTTGAACACCACCAGGGATGGAGCATTCAAAGCTTCCCTGGTGTCGTGGTTTAAACCCAGTCAGGTAATTCGTTCGCTCACTTCCCCCCCTTTTCTTGCCCTCCCCCTGCTCTCGGAGGGACGGAGAGGAAAATCGAAAAGAATGCAACTCCCACGGGTTGAGATAAGAACAGTTTAGTAACTAAGGTATAACACAGATCACTACTGCTACCACCAATGATAATAATGATACAGGAAATAACAAGGGAAGAGGATACATCATTTCACCACCAGCCGACCGATAACTCGCCCCCCCCCAGCCCGGCCAAGCTCTGACCGATACCTCCTCCAACCCTGCAGTCCCCCAGCCCTTCCGGCTAACTCCCAGTTACATCCTGGGCATGACGTGCTGTGGTATGGAATACCTCTTTGGTCAGTTTGGGTCAGGTGTCCTGTCTCTGCTTCCTCCCGCCTTCCCCTCCTCCCTGGCAGAGCATGAGGCTCACAAAGTCCTTGGCCAAACCAAAGCATCGCTATCAGCTCTGTTCCCAGGCCAAAAGTCAAAACACTGCACTGCACCAGCTACCAAGAAGGGGAAAAATGACTGCTACTGCTGAACCCAGGACACTGCCCCAAGGAACTGACAACCTCAGTATAGGAGTGAAATGGAGAGAGTTGTGGGGAGGTGGAAACAAGGAGACAGTGTTGGCTAACATGGCTGACATCACTTACATTGATCCAGCAGTCTGACAGCTGTCAAAACATTTGGACTTATGAGAGCACAGAGGAGAGTTTTGGAATGATGGTCAGATACGGGATGCACACGAAGAATGTCCTCAGAGGCATTAGAGGCAGCTTGGAAGAAAATACATGTGGAACTTCAACAGACAGGTGATAAGACCAGAGACAGGTCTGTCAAGACAATATTAATTATTGGTAGGGACAGAGAGATGGTAGGTTTTATTAGAAGGGGCTGGGAAGAGTCTTGGAGGTAAAAAGCAGTAGCTTGTTTCCAACAGCTAGGAAACATTGAGGAGCAGTGACAGTGGCTTCTGCAACATCAGGTTCATGCAGGTGAATTCTCTCCTGGCACTAGGTAGTGGGGCAGGACAGCTTCTTCCTCCATGATGCACAGGAAGGTGACTGGGTGGATGTGGGACCAGTTACCTGAGCTGTGAAAAGGACCAGGGCTTTGAACTCCTTCTTAACCCATTTCTGGAAGGAAGCTCAGGCCACTGGCCTATGTTCTGACTTTAGTCTCTGTCTTTTACTGCAGAGACTGTTCTTGTTGTACATAAATATTTAACCGTTCCTTCAGATGTAGCAAATTAGTACGTTGAACATACAGGCAAGAGCCACTTTCTTTCTGACACTGATTTACACAAGGTTCAGCACAGGACATGTGAGAAATCTGGGTGATATAACAGAACATATTAACCATTATCCTGTTCATGCCCTTTCATTTTTATTTTTGAGTAAGTAGAGCCTCTTTTTTTCCTCTCTAGAAGAATCTAGTGTAAGAATCCCACCAATGCTTTGGAGGACCTAGGTGGGAAGATGAGTGCCCAGCAGCTGAAATTCAGATACTATGAAGATTTTTCTGGTGGAAATTGCAGCATCCAGAGAATTTCATTATCTTGAGTGTTAAGCAGAGGTTTTAATATAGACATCCAAGTCCACTTTTGGCTCTAGGTTTTGGTACACTAGGTATTTTGTCCTTGGCCTGTTTCATTAGACAAATGCTTCTGGCAATAGGATATTCACCATTGATTCTTCAATATCCTTGGCTGGTTTGTGTCCCTCCTGAGTCACATTCATGGGGATACTCTTCCATATTTTTCTCTTACTTTTCTTCATCTTTTGAGCTGCATGGTGGATGCTTGCTCAATAAACAGTGTTTGAAGTCAGTCATCTCCAGGTATCTGTGTTGAACGAAGCTACTGTACCGTGGCATAGAGTGCAAACAGAGAAGCTTAGTACATGCTGTTAGGTTCACATGAAGCCCTCAAACACAGCTTATGAGGATTTCCTTACTGACAGCTCTGCAGATGCTTGAAGGAGTTTGACACTGCATAATTTTCATATTTGATTACTAATATTTTTGTAAAATGCAAGATTGGCTTGAGTTTATGTAAAATGCAAATATGGCATCTTGCATCGATTTGGACAGTTGGTTATTCAGAATGCTAGAATCATAGAATAGTTAGGGTTAGAAAGGACCTTAAGATCATCAAGTTCCAACCCCCCTGCCATGGGCAGAGACACATCACTCTAAACCATGTCACCCAAGGCTCTGTCCAACCTGGTCTTGAACACCGCCAGGGATGGAGCATTCAAA